TGTGTTATAACATGTTCAGAATAACCATCACCTGGGGAAGGAATGRTTTAGAGTAATCCCAAAGGGAAAGTGTCTAGACCATTTGTATATGCCTCCAAATGCATGGTGGGGGGGATGGATTACAACTCATCACTTTGTTTTTGATATGTGTCTGCCACCTTTGCTAGTCTGTCAACTCCAAGAAACAAAGCCCATGACATTTTGTTGCTACAGAATTTTTGGTCTTTGCTTCTGCAATGCCTAACAAAATGTTCACCCAYATCATGACCCTACCATTTCATTGTATATATATTACAGTTTCCCATGTTCCAGGTATACTCAATTTCAAATATTAGGAAAGTATACCTTAGAAGTGAATTTATATAAAATGCCTTTACCTATATGAGAGGACACTGATATGAAACCAGCATTAGAATATAGGARTTGGTTTGTGCCATGCCATTGGGCACTTATTGTCTTAGAAAGTAGATATTGTTTATTTTGCTTTTTATAAGTTGATCCTTTTAATGTTCTAATATTTCGGAACATATTTGGTATTATGTCTTCCACTCATTCATATGAGTTGGAGGGAATACAGAATCTATAGTTTAAAAATTCAGTTGTCTTTTGAAAATACAGTTGTCTTTTGTTGCTCAATTTGATCTTTGATATTTTGCTGTAGAACCAGTGTAAAATAGTCTTTCTACATCATCTATCATTTTTTCATCAGTTACATTTTCTTGAACATATTTAAGACAATAAGAGCTGACATAAGAAAAAATAACAATGCAATAGAAACTTCAAGGTAAAATGAAAATCCTAATTTTTCTTGTATTACAGTTCTTTTTACTAATATTTCAGGTTAACTTAGTAATTCAGAAATCTTTTCCCAAGGTTATGTGCAATAAAGAAACTATTTTGAGACTGGAGCTGTGGCGTGGTGGTAGAGTATTTRCCTGGTTCTGGGTTTTATCCTCAGCACTTAAAAAAAGAAAGAAACTATTTTAATTGTTTTTAAAATACTGTTATAAAAGCAATATGTGCATGATAAGTTAGTATCAGAAAAGATATATTAATGAGAAGTAAAGTCCCTTCTTCTCAAACTTCATCTCTATTTCCCAGTTATTCACTAATAGCAGGTTTATATATATTTTCACAGAAATTATTAGGTGTTATGTACATAAATTTCATAGTTCTCATTTAAATAATAAAAGTAWCATATGTTAGTTTTTAAAAGGCTCTAATAAATAAGAACTTTTTGCAATAATAAGCAACAGTACCTCTTATCCATCTTCCTCAAATATTATCACTGATGGTATATCATTCCTGGTTAATTAGATACAAATACATACACACAAACACACACACTTGCACATAGCCACACATAAGACTTTGTGACTAATTTTTTCCCCTTTATAACATGTTGTGATCATATTCCCCTATTGACATCTATATCTAAGCTACTTTCTTTTTAAATAATTTCTCTGTTGATGCACATTTAAGTAAATATAAATAATGCTGCGATGATCATTCTTATGCATGTATGTTTGTTAAGTCAAAGGGAATACACATTTAAAATTTTGATAGTCACTCATTGATTGAGTCAACAAAAATTATGTTTACCATGCTTTTAATTTGCATCATTTTTCTCCATGTTTTCCTGTATATCTTTAGTGTATTTTTTCTGGTTTAAATCTTGAAATACTTTGCCCTTTAATTTTTTAAATTGAATTCCTTACACAAAACAGATTTATTGAAATAGAATTTAAATACCATACAATCCACCATTTTAACTGTACCCATCACTATTCTTCAATATATTCACAGTTATCCCTCCATTACCACAATTTAATTTTAAACTTTCTGGTCTTCCTTAAAAGACACCTGTACTTAACAAATATTTCTCCAATTCTGTCTGCTGCACCATTCCTACCTTCTTTATAGTTTTGCCTATTCTGGACATTTTATAAAAGAATCATAGAATATGTGATCTGGTATGATTGATTTTTTTCACTTAGCATAATGTTTTCCAAGTTCATTCATGTTGTAGCATGTGTTAATAATTTATTTCTTTTTGCTGTTGAATATATTGCATTGTATGAAAATGTCAGATTTATCTATCCACTTTTTAGTTGATGGGCATTTTATTTGCTTTCACTATTTGGCTTATCATGAATAATGGTGCTATGAACATTGGCACAGAAGTTTGTAGATATATGCTTTCATTTCTTACGGGTTTATAACTAACAGTACATTTCTGGATCATATAATAACTGTACTTTTAACATATAAAATTGTTTTCTAAACAAATGGCTACATAATTTTACATTCTTACCATCAGCATATAAGAGTTCTAACTTTTCCACATCCTTGCCAACTCTTCTTATTCTCTGTCATTTTGATTATAGACATTCTGGTGGGTATGAAGTGTGATCTCATTAAGGTTTTGATTTGCATTTCCCTAATGACTAGTGATGTTGAACGTATTTTCATGTGCTTATTTGCTATTTGTATATCATCTTTGGAGAAATGTCTGTTAAAATATTTTGGTCATGTTTTCATTGGGTTGTCTTTTTGTTATTTAGTATAAGGGTTCTTTATAGATTCTAGATATACATCCCTTATCAAACATATGATTTGTGAACATTTTTATCATTCTGTAGATTGTCTTTTTCCCTTTTTAGGTGGCATTGTTTGTATCACAAACATTTTGATATAGTATGATTTATCTATTTTTCTCTTACATTTTTCAAAAAACAGTCCATTTTAGATCATTTTTAGTGCATTCAAGTGTAAGATAGAGATGGTTCCCATATCCTTTGTGCCCCTAAACACTCACAGCCTTCTCTATGTACGTCCTGCACTAGAATGGCTTTATTGTTGCAATCAATGAATTTACTCTGTCACGTCATTATCACCCAAAGACTGTAGTTTGCATTCCAGTTCACTTTTAGTATTGTAGATTCTGTAAGTTTGGACAAATATCTAATGACATGTATCCACCATTTATCATAGTATTATAGAGAATAGCTTAATTGCCCCCTCTAATTTTCTGTGCTCCACTTATTCATCCCTTGATTCTCTCTAATGTCTAGCAGCCACAGATATTTCTACTGTCTCCTTAGTTTTGTCCTTTCCAGAATGTCCAACAATTGGAATCATACAGTATGTAGAACTTTAAGATTGACTTCGGACCCTTATGAACATGTATTTATGGTTCTGGAATGCCTTGCATTTGTAGTGTGTATATTTGCTTGTACATTTCTAATAAAATTCAATTTAATATCTCTTTTTCCAGAATAGTAAGAGCCTTAGTGTCTTGAATTATACACTGAACATCTCCTTGTATTTTTCTTAATTTTTATATATGACAATGGACTGCATTATAATTCATACTATACATATAGAACACATTTTTTCATATCTCTGGTTGTATACAAAGTATATTCACACRAATTCGTGTCTTCATACATGTACTTTGGATAATAATGTCCATCACATTCCACCATCATTTCTAACCCCATTTCCCTCTTTCCCCCCTCCACCCCTCTGCCCTATCTAGAGTTTGTCTATTCCTCCCATGCTCCTGCTCCCTATCCCACTATGAATCAGCCTCCTTATATCAGAGAAAACATTCGGCATTTGGTTTTTTGGGATTGGCTAACTTCACTAAGCATTATCTTATCTAACTCCATCCATTTACCTGCAAATGCCATGATTTTACTCTCTTTTATTGCTGAGTAATATTCCATTGTGTATATATGCCACATTTTTTTATACATTCATCCACTGAAGGGCATCTGGTTTAGCTATTGCGAATTGTGCTGCTATGAACTTTGATGTGGCTGTGTCCCTGTAGTATGTTGTTTTTAAGTCTTTTGGGTATAGACCAAGGAGAGAGATTCCTTGTATTTTTGTTCAAACTTTAGTTGCACACTTTCAAAGACATGGCAAGGACTTTATATCATAGTTGAGGCAGCATATTTAGGCTTTCTAGACTAGTTAATAAGCTAGATGACAAAGACACTGAACAAATTAATTACCTTCTTGTGTCTGTTTCCTCTTCTTTAAAATAGTAATAATAGTAATAGCTATTTCAGAGGGCTGTTTTAAGGATTCAGATATAAATGTATTATCATGTAAGAAATTACTTTGATGCAATGTTAGCTTGTGGGTATACTGCTTAGGTACCCTATCCTAGAGCTCATGAAACAGAAAGGTGCACAGACCAAATTAAAATGCTCAGATCATGATTTATTGGGTCAGTTCAAAACACAAAGCAAAATATATGGAAAGAGAGATGGTCAGACCAACACATTTAAGATAAGGTACAAGTGAGTCAAAGGGCCATATTACTGAATCTTATTGTTCTGTATTTATATATTCTTTCTCTGTGCTGCATCACTTTTCCCATTTGATGTGGATACAAAAACCAGTATTGATATTTGAGCAAGGGGCCTAATAGACAAAAAGTGTCTGGTCAGTGACATACTCTTGCTTCATGTAAGCTGGTAAATGCTTGTCCAATAGCAGTGCCACATAGTCTGATGAGCAGAGATGGATTATTTGGCAGAGGATCCCAGGTGAGAGTCAACAATGGGGTGGCTAATTAAACATCTCATGATCATTATGTGCCTCATAAGCTTTTTTTATGTTTAGTGTATCAAAAACATTTGTTGCTTTAGTTACTATTTTAAAAATACTAAATGTCTATTTTGTCCATCTCTTTCTATCTCTGTTCACAGACACATGCTATGCTTACTCTGTCTGATACTTCTCAGCTTACTAAGTTATCTATGCTTAACCCAGATAAGTTCCATCCATTCCATTTTGTTTTTGTTTTATAGAGCAGAACAGAGTACTCCCAAACAATATAGGAATTATACACTGTATATGTAATGATTGATAGTAACATATCAATATCTTTTTACTACTAATTAAATTTATATTCTGTCTTTCTAATAGAATAGATTTTTGGTTTCAACTTATAAAACTGGTGCTCATTCTTTCCTTTCTTATAGGCTTATCCTCAATTTGTTCTGACCTATCTGGAGGAGCTAAATGTACAAGTGGATGTGACTCAAACAGAGTATCACATTCACCATGGTGCTTGGACCACAGCTCATCAAGAATGTGGCAGAAACTTAACAGAAGAGGTGAGTGTAGTAAGCCAGAGGCAAGACAGAAATAAATCTCTAAAATGTGTTTTGAAAAGAGAAAATATGTTCAAGTTGTTTTCAAGAACCAAACATAAATTCACAACTTACTGTTACAGATTGTTTGAGATATAACCTCAATACCCATATGCACATTTATATTTATATGAAAGTCATATATTTATATAAACATTTTATTAAATAGATGGTGATGTACTAGCTTTATCTTTGGATTGCCTTCTTTTGTTCTGGCTCTGCACAAGTGATTTCATGCTCTATGAAAACTGAAGAAAGCATGAAAAGTGCATATTATGTTTTTGGCAAACATAGTTAAGATATTTCCAATCAATGAAGTTAGCTCCATTATTCCTATATTTCGTGTATTAGGTTCTGCAAAAATGTGCCAGCAACCCTGATCTGAAGCAACTGCCAGAACCGTCAGACACCCATTTAATGCCAGAAGGTTCTCTTGAGGAGACAGRGCAGCTCACAGTGGCACTGGTGAGGAAACTGGAGGAGAAACATCCTAAGGCTTCCGCTCAGAGGTAGGGCACTGACAGACTGAGCTTTATTGCTCAATGACATTCGATGTTTTCCTTCAGTTTCATGTAAGATTGATTTCTTGATGATTGTTGAAATACCTCAACAGCCCTTTGGCTTTCAATCAGTGTAGTTTTAGGGTCACATTTGATGAAGAGAGGTGACATGTATATTTTGTTAAAGATTGATACATGTAATTTTTCAAAAGCATAATGAGGATGGATTGCTTCCCTTGAATCTCACTAAAATACWATAAAATAACATGATTAAGTGAAGGCAGTACTGAGCATATACCCAATTGTGAAAATGCCAAAGGTCTTTAAGAAGACCACACCCATGAACATTCCTTTTTATTTTCCACCAGGAGAACATCATATTTGTATCTGAGGTTAAGTGCACAGTAGATGAACTCAAGTAGTGATGGCTTACAAATTAACACCATTTCTACTGCCAGGATACGAGCAATATCAGTGATCTGCTAACCAACTGAAAATTATCCTTGATTGAAAAATGGAAATGATTTCTCCAATTCTCTTTACTTAATTGGAAGCTGAATTTTATTATTATYATTATTATAATTTGATATTKTAAATCACAAAATGACTTTATAAAATGTAATTTTAATCTATAATTGCTTGAATTACTTTTGACTGAAATATTCTCAAAGAACTAGTACAATTCTTATCATAGTCAATAAAGTTTAAAGGAACTCCTAAATGTAAATATACTACTTGAAGAGAAAAATGTCTCTTGCATAAAAAAAGAAAAAAAATGATAGTTTTTATTTAAATTAAGCTACTTTTTATTCTTAAGTTACATATTTCTACCTGGATTTTGATAGGAGGGGAATTTCCCCCCTAAGAGATAGCAAAAATGACTCTTCAATTTACTCAGTCTTTATTATTTGGTTTTGTTATTTTGATCAGGCACGGAAGTACATTTAGTATCTTATGATATCATATCATGATGTTGTCTTGGATAGCATAAAAATTTAGACTCCAGGTCTTCTTTTTCCTGTCACTTATCTTTATATCACATACAAGATTCTCATCCCTCTGATGCTCTACAACGTGACCACAAGTCTGTAGCCACACATCCAGGCCACTCTGGCTATTCACATCACTAGAACATAAGTCCCTTGGGAACAGTCTTTGTCTGATGTTTCTCATTTAAAGTAGGAACTCAAGGAACCCTGGGGCACTTGGGAACTGATAATACTGCTGTTTGAGTCCATTTTTGTTCTTTTTGGACAATCATTTATTCTCTATACTCTTTGACAGAATGTTTGAGGTTGTTATTATTCATGGCTTTTGTCCTTATAAATACTAAGTTCTGCTGAGGAAAGAGGAATGGGTTACTTCTTCTTTCAGCTTCTAGAACACTTGCCCCATTGTGAATAGGACCCTTCTGTTAACTCACCTGATTCCTTATGATTTCCCTCTTCCCCAACTTGGAGATATTTTTCCTGAGAGCATTGGGTAGTTGAGAGATTTGGCTTTTGCATTCTGTGGTTGTGTTTTCCCTGAGGCACAATCTGATGACTGAACATTGTGAGAAAGGCATATAGTATTAGAAAAAGTGACCTCCCCCCTAAAAAATGTGATTAGTGGCAGCTAATGTATTGTAATACCTGAGTTAGAATTAAAGAGTCTTTCAATTTCTAATAAAGTAGTAAGCACTCAATAAGTGGTAGTTGTGAAAATATTCTAAAAATAAGTAGAGATAGAAAAGATTTTTAAAATAAGGTTGTTTAGTAGTTCTCCCTTACCTATAATTCCAATATCAGTTACCTAACATCAACTCTGAGCCAGAAATATTCAATGGAAAATTCCAGAAATAGACATTTCATAAATTTTAAGTAACCTTTACTACAGTTTATTGTTACAGCATCCTATTTTATTAGTATTGTTCTTATTCTTTTATTATGCCTAGTTTATAAAATAAACTTTATCATAAGTATTAATTTATAGGAGAAACATATGAGATTCAGTACTATATGCAGCTTCAGAAACACTGGGTTTCTTAGACTGTATCTACTATGGACTATTACATTTTGATTTGTAGTTTTTAGTCAATAGGAATTGACTAGTAAACATATTTGGAGTTTTCTTTCTTGAGAAATTGCCCAGGGGACTTTTCTTAGTGAGCTTTTCTCAGGATATGTGTTTTAGGCTCCATACATTCTTCCTGCTTTCTATCCCCGCCCCCTCCTTAAAGCCACAGGGATTTATCTACTTTCTTTCCCCTCTACCCTCATAATTTACCTCATCAAGAATGTGGCAGAAACTTAACAGAAGAGGTGAGTGTAGTAAGCCAGAGGCAAGACAGAAATAGATCTATCAGTAGATGCTATTTCAGTTTCTTTTCTTCTTTTTACCAAAGTTGTTTTGAGTTAAAAATAAAATACTTAGAGCAATCACTTTCCTCTTATTTTGGCGGACTGTAGGGGGCAAAATTAGAAGGCAATGCAGAATTTGGCATGCTGGTTACTTTGAACCTTAGGTTGTCTTGTTAGGTTGTGTACTTTCCAAATGTAAGACAATCTGTGTTATACTATTGCAGTTTTGAGAGAGAGCTTTACATTTTCTTGCTTTTATCAATGATAATTCAGTTAAAGAAAAAATTCATAGCATATCATAAAGAAATTATGTGAAATGATCTGAGCTGTGGAAATTGGATTTTAGCACATCAAGAAAAATATTCATGAGAAAATCTGAACAAAGAATATGTAATTGAAAATAATTAAAAGAGAGAGATAAATTTAAGTGCTTCCTTAGAAGTAGCCAAAGAAAGAGTAAACTACAATAGCCAAATTTGGGAGAAGACAGAGATTGTTAAGTAGTGGCAGGTAATCTGTGAAAATAAATGATAACAGTATATTGTAAATGATAACAGCTCAAATTTACTGACTTTGCTCAAGTGCTTTAAGTACATCAATTCCTGAAAACCTATGAGGTAAGTAAAACAGAGGAATCATCATCTTAGACATGGAGAGATTCAATTACTTCATGAAGTCCTCTGAGTTCCCCTAGCTCCGTTTTATTCTGAACCACTACTTTATACTACTTGACTACTCATGCTCATGTCTTAGTATTTATTCAAAATCTTCAGCTTTTCAAATAGAGACTATTATTTTAACTTGATATCTTGGAAATGGAACTTTTAGATAAGAACAAATTTAAAAAGGAAAACTAAAAGTTATAGCAATATATTCAGTATTCAGTGAAAATTAAATAAGAGGTAGGAAATATTGAGGGAAGCTATGAACTCCTGATATCCTGTTGCATTCAACTATCTAGATCTGCAGCCTAGACTGACTTGCAGAGGACTTCCTTTGAATAAGAGATTTTTAAAAGTCTTTTTCTAATAATATGACTATAACTTGTCATGATTATCCAGGGTATTTCATGCTTTGGTGATTCAGTTCAGCTTCACGACTAATAGTTGGCATTTGTTGGATACTTACCATGTGACTACTGCTTTTCTAAGTATTTATTCTCATAATATCATGAGAGGTTGATTTGGTATTAATATCATAACCTGGGCTGGAGTTGTGACTCAGTGATAGAGTGCTCTCAAAGCATTCACAAGGCACTTGGTTCGATTCTCAGCACCACATAAATGTAAAATAAAAATATTCTACCTAAAACTAAAAAACACCAAAAAAAAAAACCATCATAACCTAATGATAGAGGTACTCTTTTATTTATTTATTTATTTGTTTATTTATTTGTTTGTTTGTTTGTTTATTGTACTGGGGCACTGGGATTGAACCTGGGAATGCTTTATCACTGAGCTACATCCCCAGATCTTTTTATGAAATTTTAATTTTGAGACAGGGTTTTGCTAAATTGCTGAAGTTCTTGGCTAAGTTGCTGAGAGTGTGGCTTCAAACTTGTGATACTCCTGTCTCAGCCTTCTAAGTCTCTGGAATAACTTGGCATGCACCACTGCACCTGGCATAGGTGCATATCAATTAAGATACAGAAACTGAAGCTYTTAGTAGCAACCTCATGTGCCCAGTCATACAGCTGGTTAATGGGGGAGTGAGGATTTGAATCGAGGCCTTGGTGGATCTCTTGACTACCCTCATTCCTATTAGTTTTTATTTACTGATTTTATAAGAGAATGGTATTATACACATAGTTATATTAAATAAATACTAAAATGTCATGTGTGTTACATCATGAGAGTTGATCAGGCTTACCATTTGTGTATTTTGAGTTGTATTCTTAAACACAACACACACACACACACACACACACACACACACAGAGTCTAAAACAATAACCCCAAATTAGGCTTAACTACCTATGCATTCATTTTGTTTAATGTACATTTCAAACATTTCAGAAAACCATCTGGTGTTGACCTTTTACTTTTTCTTTTTTCTTTCTTTTTTTTACTTTTCTTTTTTATTTTTGGTAACATGAAAAAATTAATTCTTCCATGGGAGAAAAGGAAAATATCTTACTATATGAAGTCTTAAATATAAGGTTCTTAGTTCATGATAGGTCATATTTTCTTGTTTCCTTTAGCCACACCTTAATGTTTTTGCTCTCTTCTTGAATAAAGAAAGTTGTGTGTACATTTAATTCCAAGTTTGGTCCAAAATGAAATAAATGCCATATTCTGGCATCTTTAAGTATCTGGAATATGTTTGTTTACCTTAGTTTATCCAAAGGAGCCCTTTAACCATATTTAAATTGAATAGGGGGTGGGGAAGGACTGGGACAGCCAACAAAGCATGCTGACCCAGCTTGTCACCCAGTGACCTGTGAGAAGGAAATAATGAACTGTGAGTAGCTGTCATCTTAACTGTTTCTGACAGTTCGCCTTTGGGCACATCTGTGTTAGTTGCTTTGGAAAGCCCTTTGTTCTTTTCCCACTAGTGACTTTGTGGGGCGCTGAGGGGTTTGCTAGCTACTGTACTGCAAACCAGCCCCTTCCTTCCCAGGGAAGCGAGCAGCTGCCGCRAATTGCAATGACATTTCTCTTCATGACT